AACCTGCCACCCACAGTATATGGGGCCAGCGCCCTCCCCACTGAGCCACAAGCACCCAGTACTTGTGGTTTTATACAATGTCTCCTTACATAATTTAAGACAGGCAGCCAAGTACAATGGCTTGAGCCTGCAATCCCAGCACTTAGGGAGGCCAGGGCCAAGGACCACTTGAGGCAAGGAATTGGGAGACCAGCCTATGCAACACAAGGAAACCTCATCCCTGCAAAAAACTTTTTAAAAAACCCATGAAACTATTTAAGATCCAAGACTTTTGCCATTGCATTTGTACTCTAAATACATTTACTTCAGACGCTTGGAAGAAACTTATTGTTTTAATTAACAGACACTTTGACTTAGCTACCAAAGAACTGACCACAAAGGACTTCACGTAAACTAGTCATTTATTAGTATTGGTGTTGATAACCGGATTCCAGTAGATGTGCCCAGCTGCATGGAGGTGATGAGCGAGGGGAGTGGGCGGCGGGGCCTCACTTCTTCCACTCCTGCTTCTCGTAGTCCCACTTGGCGGCGAAGCCCTGGATGGGGTTGACCTTCATGTCAAGCATCTTCTTGGTCTGCTTGGCCACCCAGTCAGGATCAAAGGTGTGTGGGACGGGGCCGTACACTGCAGTTCAAGACAGTTTTGTGAGACAAGGCTGTCTTTACGGGTTGCTTCTACACTAATACCGTCCGTGGGTTAGATCCTGCCCAACACACTGGGACTTCAGCAAAGCCACCTGCTACTCTACACCTGCTCAAACACGTGGGCTTTTATTTCTCAACACTGACAGACAACTCGTGATGCTTTTAAATTATTCCTTTATTCGTAAAAAGGGAGCGACAAAATAATTATGCTAAAAGCTGAACGTCTTCTCTGCAGGCTGTAGCTAACAGGGTCTATAGGCACAAAGCACAGAGCTGAGGGTGGCTTGCGAGACCAAATAGAAAGGCTCAGGCCTGTTAGCAACCTGCGGCCCAAGCTCAAACGGAAGGTGTGAAATATACCTGCACAGACTGCAAAAACACCTGTCCTGTCTGAACAAAAAGAACTCAGAGGAAACACCCTTAGCATGAGCGGGCAACCCCAGCAGTGTCTAAACAGAAACTCTACGGTTGGCTGTTGAGATGCAATCCCCGTAAGAGTCGAGACAGCCGTCCAGCAAATGAGTGTCCTACTTCTACTCGGACCCTCCCTAGTCACCTTGTCATAACCAACTAGATAAACTGCTACTGAAAACATGGACGGCTCCAC